TTAATGTATTTCTTCATCCTTAAACCTATACAGTTTTGTCTTAATTATGTACATTTGTACATTAATTAAGTACATTTGTACTTAATGTATTTCTTCATCCTTAAACCTATACAGTTTTGTCTTAATTATGTACATTTGTACAATAGTACAATTGTACTAATTATGTACATTATGTACATATGTACTAAGTCTTAAGTGTTCTTTAACACTGGCATTCCTTTCCAAGATTTTTTTTTACTAAGCTAGACCCTTTGCATTTCCTTATAAATTTTAGGATAGCTTGCCAATTTTTTCAAAAAAGACTGCTGGGATTTTGACTGTCACTATATTGCTATCATAGATCAATTTAGGGAGAATCTACATCCTAACAATTTTGAGTCATCCAACCAATGAGATTTATATATCATTTGTTTAGGTGTTTAAATTATCTCTCAGAAATGTTTTGTTATTTTTGGTGTAGATTTATAATTTATTTTTGTAGACTGGCTTTCTATCTTGGGTATTTGCTAAATTAATACATTGTATGTAATACTTTTTTGTGGATCTCTTCAGAATTTCCTGCACACGTGATTCTGTCAACTTCAAACAAAGGTAATTTCACTCTTTCCTTTCCAAAATCTATATATTTTATTTCATTTCCTTTTTCTGATACAAGCTAGGACATCCAGTAATATGCTGAATAGAACTGATGAGAGCAAACAACTTTACTTTATTCATGATTACTAGGGGAGAAATGTTCAATATTTCACTAGGAAGATAACAAATTTCTCACACATGTACTTGATCAGATTCAGAAACTTCACTGTTTTTGTTTTGTTTTGTTTTGTTTGAGAAAGAGGGAGAGACAGCATGCATGCACATGAGTGCACAAGCAGGGGAGGGGCAGAGGGAGAGAGAAAGAATCTCAAAGCAGGCTCCATGCCCAGCGTGGAGCCCAAAGTGGGGCTCAAAGCAGGGATGGATCTCACCACCATGAGATCATGACCTGAGCCAAAATCAAGAGTTAGATGCTTAACAGAGCCACCTGGGGAGGGGGGGGGGTGGGTGGCGGCCAGAAACTTCACTTGTATTGCTACTTTGGTTTGGAGAGTTTTTAAAATATACCTCTATATTTGGGGGAAAAATGTAGTCTTACAGAAAAGTTGCAAAAATAATAGAGACAGTCCCATGTAGTATTAAAATTTCATGAGAACACTTGGGGAGAAAATATCCAAAATGATTCTCTAGAAGGGCAATGATGAAAAAAAGATTGAGAAATATTGCTTACACACTGCACCCAGCTTCCCAAATATCGTATCTTACACTATCATGGTAAATCTGTCATAACTAAGAAATTGACAATGGCACAATACAATTTCTAATTTATACAAACTTTGGATTCACCAGTTTCTCACCAATGTCATTTTTTTTTTCTGTTGCAGAACCCCCATCCAAGATACTACATTGTATTTAGGTGCCATGTCTCCATAGTCTCCTTTGATCTATGAAACTTTATCATCCTTTCTTGTTTTTTAAAACCTTGAGAGTTTTGAAGAATACTGGGCATGTATTTTGGAGAATTATCTACAATTTGGGTTTGCATGATGTTTTTTTACTAATAGACTAGAATTAAAAGTTTTAGAGAAAGATACCACAGAGGTAAAGTGGCCTCTTCATCAAATTGTATCAGGGAATATTTGCTATCAACATGACATCAAAGTACTCATAAAATTATTTTAAATTCCTTGGCTACTAATTCCAATATCTAGCTTCTCAGTTCACTTATTTATAATGACTCTTTTTTTCTTTTAATTTTAGGTAACATTTTCCTGCTTCTTTGCATGTCCTGTAATTTTGGATCTCGTGCCGGAAATTGTGATTAAAGGAAGAGTGGACACTAAAGTGTATAATCGTTTGTTCTGTTTTCTTAAAGATGCTACCTCCTTCCTTTGTCATACAGCTAGAGGAAGGAGCTGACCATTTAAATTCCAAGAGTTCAGCTGAGTTGGGCTGAACCTGGGCCTCAACTTAACTTACAGATTGCCTCCTATTCCTTGCCACTACAACCAGCAGTGCCAGGAACTCTCTATGGATCATTAAAAAGAGTTTCTTAGGGTTTCTACCCAGGAACATATTATTAATTTGGCTACTACTATGGTGTGAATGTTCACGTCTCCCCAAATCCATATGTAGAAATCCTAACCCCTAAGGATGATGGTATTAGAAGGTGGGATCTGTGAGATGTGTTTTAATCATGACAGTGCAGCCCTCATAAGTGGGATTAGTGCCTTATAAAAGAGGCTCCAGAGATCTCCTTAGTCCTTTCCACCAACTGAGGACATAGTGAGAAAGCACAAGTGAGAAACTTAGGAAGGGGGCCCCTCACCAGAACATGACCATGCTGGAGCCTTCATCTTGAACTTCACAGCCTCCAGAACTGTGAGCAAGAAATTTCTGTTGTTTATAAGCTGCCCAATATGTGGTATGTATTTTGTTACAGCAGCCTAAGCGAGCTAATACAGCTGCCACTGCCAGACCGCTCCCCAGAAGGGCTGTATCAGCTTGTGTGGCCTCCCTTCTGCAGTGCATTTACATACCCCTGGCAACCCTTAGCATTATCCAACTAACCCTTATAAAATCATACCCCAGGCGAAGTTCATAATGCATGCAGTATGTATGGTGGAAAAGACCTAAGATTCCTTGTTAAATTTTATGATGGGAAAAAGTTTAAAATATTTATTAAAGAAAATAATAACAAAATAATAAAGAAAATAAAGAAATAAAGAAAATAATAACATGCAAAACAATCCCACCACCTAACAGAGTAAAAGCTTTCATATTTGGAAATTTGTCCCAGCTTTGTGCTGATAAATATGCAGTTTACACAGTTATCATTTCAAAATACAGTTCTGAACTCTGCTTTTTCAGAAGATTTAATGATGGCTATTTTTAATGACTGTACAATGTTCGGTAAAATTAAATTTTATACTTTTGTTATTCATTTACCATATTTAAGATGCAGGTTATTTCAAATTTTTATGAATTATGGTGAATTGGTTATAGCTTGTTTTTCTTGTTGGATAATTTCCTCAAGGTAAATGTGCATTATTGTTAATAAAAACAAAGCCCCACTTAAAGATGTTTTAACGGTAGTTTGTATAATATATTTTAAATTAATAGAACTATATTAGAAACTGTTTATCAACCCAACAGAGTAGCATACAGTTATAATGGATCAGACCGTGTCAGTACCCAGGAACATGTATGTTAAAGTCATTAAAATCCAAATTTCACAAGTGAACCTACATGAAAAAATAAGGATATACAATGACCAGGAAAAGATAAAAATACATTGTTCCAATATATAAGTTTTATATAGGTTTTTGGACACTGAAAATTTTAAATAAAGAAATCACCAGTAGAATTTAAGAAACACAACAGATGAACATGGGGGAAGGGAAGGGAAAAAAGATAAAAACAGAGAGGGAGGCAAACTATAAAAGACTCTTAAATGCAGAGAACAAACTGGGTTGCTGGACGGAAGTAGATGGGGGGGATGGTTAAATGGGTGATGGGCATTAAGGAGGGCACCTTTAGGAATGACCACTGGGTGCCATATGTAAGAGAGGAATCACAAGATTCTACTCCTGAAACCAAGACTACACTGTATGTTAACTAATTTGAATTTAAATTAAAAAAAAAAAAAAAGAAATCACCAGCACAGTAAGTTAAAAATTAACAATTTTCATCACAAGGTTAAAGAAATACAGGTATAAACATGTGATGCCTTAAGAGCCTTACTTATATGACTTATGTGACTAGGATATAAAAATAAGTATGATTAAAGATCTGCTTACCAGGACTCCCCCCATGGGAACTACGTTCACTTCTGGGTCCCAAAGAAGGAAAAGTTGGAAAGAGAACACCTGTTTCCCAGCCTTCTGTTTGGACAAAACCCATATACTTGTTCCTCTGAAAACTACTAAAACGCAGATAATATTTTACCTACAGGGAACAAAAAGAAATGATACCTGTAAACAAAAGATAATTAAGGAAGAATGAGAAACAAAAGGAAGTTAAAGAAAAATCGCATGTGTGTGATTCTGAGGCAGACTGTTGAGCACTAAGTGGATTCCGAACGTTAGGCAGTGGAGCAGACTTGTCATATGGCTATTGTGGGTTTGCAGTAAACAAACACGGTGGCAACTTGCACACCAGTGCCAATGTCTTTTTCCCAAAATAGACAGCTGGCATGCATACTGAAATGAAACACACCAAAAGATGCTGCTAATTTCTCTTCCCATTACATCAGCCAAGTGTTTTGAGAGGAAAATCCCTTCCTCCCCTAAAAGTGATTGTAACCATAAGAAAGAATCCCACATGAGGACAGAGGAGAAATGTGATAAAATATAAATGTGGAATACTGCATAATTTCCTTATTAAATGAAAAGATAATACTAATTCTAGAGAACTAAATAAACCTCAAGGTAGAGCATGCTGGGTCTAAGTAGCTTTACAAGACAGAAAATGGTCCAGCAGTTGCCTAGAGTCAAGGGTCAGACCAGAGAAATCAGTAACATCAGGAGGAGCAGGCCGATGTCATAAATCTAGGTAAATATTAATATACTCAGTTATCAAGCCGAGAGCTTCAGACACTTACTGCATGTTCAAGGACTAAGACATAGAACCTATTCCTCAAGGAGCTCAAATTCTAGTTGAGACAACATATATATTTACTTTACAGCAAATTCAATGATAGTAACATGTAAGGAGCATTTATGGGAGTATGGAGGAGGACAGAGGTGGGTGTGGTTAGGAGAGACTGTACAGCAAGTCACAGTAGCAATGTTAAATAAAGGTAAGAGAGTGAGCCAAGTGGCAGGGACAGTGGGGAGATTGTCCAAGGAAAAACAGGTGAAGTTTGAAACTGTACCAAAAACATTCTAACCAGTCTGTATATATACTGATGAGCCTACATCAGCACCAGCTCATATCAAATTAGTAACTTGAGGGAATTTTACATATGTGAAAGGAGTGAAAGAGTGAGGGAAAAGAATGAAAACATACCTCCAACTCTACTTACAACCCAGTGGTTTTCCTTACTTTTTCCTTCCATTGAGAACCAGCAGTTATCTTAAATGCAGAATTATAGCTCCATGCGTACATCTATACTATATTTTGATTATTTCCTTCAACACCAAGGACACCAAGTTCAAAGCACAGTCCTTGTCTCTCCTTCTTGGAGGCTGTTATCAGAATCTTCCTCAGAGTCTGCCTATGTCCTAATTCTGATTCCACTTGGCTAAACCTTGGCACTGTTTTCTAGATTTAGATTCTGGTGAAAAACTATGAGATTCAAACAAAAGAAAGAGGAACATTTTCATGCTGTGTTCCATGCTGGTGAAGATGCAGCTGCTTTTAACCCCTCAGGTCTTTTGAGCTGGGAAATCTGCATTCACTTCACCATCATGTACAGAGCTGGGAAAGAGCTGTATCAGATACAGTGGGAAAGGTAATATCCTTGGTGGTCAATGTCTCCTATGATTCTGATTTATAAGGAGAAAATCTAGTACATGGTAAATTTAATTCTTTCCCCACCAACATAAAGCTATGGCTAAATAAATGCACATATGCAGAAATTAGTTAGATTTGGATTTAAATCCCTGCTCAACTATGTACAAGCAGTATGATCTTGGGTAAGTTGCAGTCCCCCCACTTAATAAATGAAATAATTATGCCTCTACTTCATTAAACCTCAGAAACTGGAAGCACACTTATGAAGTTCTACATAAAACCTTCTTACCTTAAGTGGTAGGGGATCATCACTATTTTGGAATTCATGGTCAAAAACAATAGCAACCAACACTTTTTTAGAGTTATTCTCTTGTTTAACATACTCTTCAAAATCTTGTTCTGAAGAAAAGCCTTGAACTGTAGAAAGAAAAATAAATCTAATGTGTGAGTTGCCCACATACAGGCAAATGTATCTGAGTGCCTTTTCTATCTATAAGATGGAAAAATGCTTTACACGGATGAAAGATTATCAACATATAAATTTTAAAACACTGTTGCTCAGGGGTACCTGGGTGGCTCAGTCGGTTAAGAGTCCAACCTCGGCTTAGGTCATGATCTCATGGGTTGTGAGTTCAAGCCCCACATCGGGCTCTGTGCTGACAGCTCAGAACTTGGGGCCTACTTCAGGTTCTGTGTCTCCCTCTTTCTCTCTCCCTCCCATACTTGTGCTGTCTCTCAAAAATAAGTAAATATATATTTTTTAAAGTAAATTTAAAACAGTGTTCAAACATTGGCACAACAAACTAATGGATATTAGGAGTGCATGAAAATCTTTAGGAGTTTTAAAAGTTTGACCACAAGTTTAAAGTATAATTAAAAAAATAAAGTATAATGAATCATTATAATAAATACATACTGAAATAAAGCAAGGAAGAGGGATACTTCCAAAGTGTTTTGAAATTTTCATTTTAGAAGGAAATAACAAAATTGATCCATGAAATCTATTCAAAGTCGTGTACAATGAGAATCTCTAATATTGGAATAAAAACTACTCAGAAGTTGAAGAATGAGGAGGGAAGATGGCGGCATAGGAGGATGCTGGGCTCACCGCGCGTCCTGCTGATCACTTAGATTCCACCTACACCTGCCTAAATAACCCAGAAAGCCGCCAGAGGATTAGCAGAACGGAGTCGCCGGAGCCAAGCGCAGACGAGAGGCCCACGGAAGAGGGTAGGAAGGGCGGCGAGGCGGTGCGCGCTCCACGGACTGGCGGGAGGGAGCCGGGGCGGAGGGGCGGCTCGCCGGCCAAACAGAGCCCCCGAGTCTGGCTTGCAAAAAGCAGAGGGGCCTGATGCACTGTGTTCCGACAGCAAGCGCGACTTAGCGGCTGGGAGGTCATAAGTTAACAGCTCTGCTCAGAAAGCGGGAAGGCTGGAGGACAAAGGGAAGGA